GAAACCATTTTAGCAGCAAAACAAAACCACATTAGGATTTCTCTTGTTTTCAGGGAGATTTGTGGGAATCAGAAGATAATGACGGACAAGAGGGGGAATTGGGTCCCAGAGAGGGGAACTGTTTGTGTGAAATCTGCTCATCCCCTCTTCCTGTAGCGACACGTGCCATTAACTGAGACGTTGGTCACAGCTATCAGGGAGAGACCAAAAAATGTTTTACTGGACACTAATAACATCTAATGCACAGTACGGGAAAAGTGCTGACCAAGAATTTCTAGGATTTATATTCTGCCTGAGTGCTGAGCGGAGAAGATAGGAACAGTTGGGAGGTATGCGTTAAAGTGACAGTGCTTCATGTGACCCTGACTTTGTAAAAATAGTAGATGCATGGAAAGGACTCCTAGGTGCAGATAAATCAAAATATGTCTGAGTTTAAAACATGATTTATCATCTATAAACGGTGCAACATCCCTGCAAAGAGCTGAGGATGATAGGACCTGTGGTCAGTTTGTCTTGGAAGCTGTGACAGGAGACCCAGAGAGCCGGATGCGTAATATATCGCTAGCCCGAGCTAGATCTAAGTGAACCGATAAAAGAACGCTCCCTGCTGCACCCTGTTCTTTCTGTAGGTTTTCTTTCACTGGTCGTGCTCTGGCCAGCTTTTCCCACCCTCATCCATGTCAATTTTACTTTCCATCTCTCCTGTTTACCTGTACCCATTCGGTTAATTTCGCTCCCTGCTAGTTAAGTGACTGTAAAGTATTCGTTGTTATTCCTGTGTTCGGGACATTTATTCGTTCTACCGAACGGAGACCACCCTGGGTAACAATCAGAACTTAGAACACCAAGTAACCTCGAAAACCGCAAGGTAATTGTGTGCTTCTAGGTGGCCGCCATTTGGCATACGAACACGTGGCGAGAACAAAGGATGGCAGCCATCTTAGATCTCCCGAACGCGGTCAGCGGGACTTACTCGTGGATTGCCTGGAACCATTTTGGGCATGACAAACACACGAACACCCGGTCTCTATGGAAGTCCCATCTGACCGATTTTCACTTACAGTATCAAACTGGCGTTCGGGAGTTTCAATCAACCGAATGAGGGGAGCATTCATATGGAACCAGATGCTGTATAACTGTGGTAGTTTTCGTGTAATTCCGCACGAACGGAGACCGGCTCTTGCTACCAATTTCATGGAACTTTAACTCGGATACAACCACATGGCGAGCCGGTCAAACTTCCACACGATGCGTTCTATTCTGTGACATGTAGAAAGTATATTTTTAAAAATGTGGAAAATTGTTAATGTTTCTGGCCAGCAGATAATTGAGTTTAGTATGTTGCTGAAACTCAATTATCTAGCCTGGCCCCGAGGAGGAGTCTGTTACTGTATAAATTGAATGCCTGTTGCTTCCAGTAAATCAGTTTTGTTCCAGCATTAACCCCTTAAAACCGGAGGACGTACAATTACGCCCTCTAATAGGCGGCTCTAAACGCCGCCGGGCGTAATTGTACGCCCTCCGGTTTTTGTTAACTTACCCGGTCACCGGCGGTCCCACTGAGATTCAAGGGGTTAGGACTCCTTAGGAGCCCCCGCTGCACGCCCACTGCCGAGCTCGCCATAGGAGAGTGGGGTCCTAGCGAGGACCCCACAATCACATGGGTCGGGATAGTTGGTTTTCTGATACGTAGGCTGCCTGTAAATGACAGGTGGTCCTCCCCTGCTGGCTGAAAATAAAATAAAAATAAAGTTAATGGTGTAAAATAATTATATATACTTAGATCATATATATATTATATATATATGATCTAAGTATATATATACACATATACATACACACATCGCATTAATTGCCTAGGTAGAGTTTACCATTAATATATATATAATTATATATATATATTAATATCAAATTACACGTAGACTAATACTGATTAAATATATATATATATAATTATTGTTATATATATATATTTATATATAATATAAAAAAATGTAAATACGTAAAAAAAAAAAATTTAAAAAAATAATTAAAAATAAATAATAAAAAAATATATAGATGTTTGTTATTTCGTTCTAACTGTATTGTGATATTAATATATATATATTTATATCAAAATACACGAACGAAATAATATATATATCTATATACATAAATATATACATATATATCACTAAATATATACACCTATATATAAATAAAAATATTTTAAAAAATTATATAGATATATGTATATATACACATATGTATATATATACATATATTAATTCTACACATATATTTATGTAATATTTTTACATAATTAGGTATCCTAATTAATTACAATTAGCGGGACCTGCCTGACAACCCATGCCGAAAGTATAGGGAATTTAATTTGTTAGCACTATATTTAACCCTATAACTTTCCAAGACACCATAAAACCTGTACATGGGGGGTACTGTTCTACTCGGGAGACTTCGCTGAACACAAATATTAGTGTTTCAAAACAGTAAAATGTATTACAACGATGATATCGCCAGTAAAAGTGAAGTTTTTGCATTTTTCACGCACAAACAGCACTTACACGGACGATATTATTGCTGCGATACTTTTTACTGTTTTGAAACACAAATATTTGTGTTCAGCGAAGTCTCCCGAGTACAACAGTACCCCTCATGTACAGGTTTTATGGTGTTTTCAAAAGTTACAGCGTCAAATATAAGGCTTGCATTTCAGTTTTTTCACATTAAAATTCGCCAGATTGGTTATGTTGCCTTCGAGACCCTATGGTAGCCCAAGAATGAAAATTACCCCTATGATGGCATACCATTTGCAATAGTAGACAACCCAAGGTATTGCAAACAGGGTATGTCCAGTCTTTTTTAGTAGCCACTTAGTCACAAACACTGGCCAAAATTGGCATTTTTTGCATTTTTCACACAAACAGATACGAACGCTAACTTTGGCCAGTGTTTGTGACCAAATGGCTACTAAAAAAGACTGGACATACCCCATTTGCAATACCTTGGGTTGTCTACTATTGCAAATGGTATGCCATTATGGGTGTAAATTTCATTCCCGGGCTACTATACAGTCTCAAAGGCAACGTAACCAATCTGGCGAATTTCAATTTCAAATGTAACGTGCTATATTTGACCCTGTAACTTCCCAAAACGCCATAAAACCTGTACATAGGGGGTACTGTCTTACACGTGAGACTTTACTGAATATAAATATGTGTATTTTATTGCAGTAAAAGCAAACAGTATTATGACATTGACCGTTAAAATGTCATGTAGAACTAAAAAAATAAAAAAAAAACGTATTTTCTCCCATTTTTTTCATATTAAATTATGTTTCATAGCTAAATATTTGATATTAAATGAAAGCCCTGTTTCCCCTGAATAAAATGATATATAATAAGGGTGGGTGCATTTACTATGAAAGAGGTGTATTACGGTTGGACAGACATGTAGCGCAAATGCCAGGTTTTGTTTACATTTTGTTTTGTTCACAATGTGTACATTTGGCTCCGTCCTTAAGGGGTTAAGCTTTGGCTCATGTGTGGATTATTTGGCGATACCAGCGTTATTTTACCCTGTGGATTATTGTTATTTTTCTGCTATTGGGAAAAAGGGAATACTGGACGGTGATACAGATTACTACCATCACAACTGGTGGGCAGTGGCGGGATTTTCCTTTTTTCCTGCACCAAGAATCCAAGCAGATACTGGGGACAGTGAATGGAAGGCTGGTACACACTGTTTAACCCCTTAAGGACACATGACATGTGTGACATGTCATGACTCCCTTTTATTCCAGAAGTTTGGTCCTTAAGGGGCTAAACGAAACTGTTGGAGGTTCGTGGAAGGATTGCTAGCAACAAAACCAAGCGGGTCATTATTGCTGAGTTAATGGAGCTAGACCGGGAGAACTTGGTTGCAGCAACACCGACCATTCCCGAATCACCAACCAACAGGGAGATTCAGGAGAGATTAGCATGGTTCGGTCTGAACCCAACGGCTGACATTGTTCTGCAGGTAATGAACATTGTAGTAGAAGAGGCGAAACAAAAGAGAGAAAAAGAGCTGGAGATGAAGCTGGCTGAAACCCAGCGGGCAGCAGCAAGTTCCCTGAGCAGAGAGAACCGCACAGCAGACACAAGGAAGATTCCTTTCAGTGCCTTTAAAGCTTTTAATGAGAAGGACTGCGAGATTGATAGCTATCTAGCGGATTTTGAGCGACAGTGTAACCTGCAGACGAGTGGGTTTCAATATTGGCTGGGAAGTTGTCAGGCAAAGCCGGCGATGCTTTCCGTGCAGTACCAGAGCAGGAGAGTCACAGCTACGCAAGGGTTAAAGAGGCACTCACGCAAAACAGACAAGTGTTCCTTTGCAGAATTGGCCTGCCAGTTACAACTGTCCGCATCCAATTGGGTCAACAGTAGCCAGGCTACCACCGCGGATGACATCCTACAGTTAATACTCCTGGAGTAGTTCTACGACCACATCCAGACAGATAGCAAAGACTGGGTGAGAGACTGCAGACCCCTCTCCTTAGCGGAGGCTGCCAAGCTCGCGGATGAGTATGCGGATACTTGTAAGACCACACGGGTCCAACCCCTCCGTCCGGCAGTACCATCAACCCCAACAGTAACCAGGTACCAACCCCCCAGCTGACCGGTAGCTTCCAACCCTCGCTACCCACGTCAGGCTGGCAACGAACCCCGCTGCTTCCAATGTAACCAAGTGGGTCATCTTCATAACAATTGCCCACTGCCCAATTGGACTCGCCCTGGATTCCATCAACCCCAAGCCCATTGTGTGGATTATCCGGTACCCTCTGCCTGGGACGCCAAGGCGCTGAGTCGTGAGGAACCCCTGGGCACCCTATATGAAGCTCTCCTAGTCCAATCTACCTTAAATGACAATCAAAAACACCATTGTCAGCTGGTAATGGTCAACGGGAAGACAGCCCAGGGCCTAAGAGACAGTGGTGCTACAATCACCCTAGTTCAATGGCATCTTATTGATAACTCTGAAAGACTGGGGAAATCTATTGCTGTGAGAGTGGCAGGGGGGCAGTGTATCGGATTCCTACCGCACAAGAGCATCTAGACAGGGGCACTAGAGCTGGCAATGTCCAAGTGGGTGTGATGAAAGAATTACCCTCTGAAGTCGTGTTGGGCAATGATATTGGTCCTCTAACTTCTGCTTTTGTATCAACACCCCCTCGCGAGGCTCAAGCGGTAACCACCAGAGCTCAAAGTCGTGCTGCCGAGAGCCATCCACCTCCTACTGAGACCCAGGTAAGCCAACCTACCCTACCCCTGACTGAAAACCCCCTTCCCTGGGATACCCCGGAGGACTTTGGGAGGGAAGTAGCCAGAGACCCCTCACTGAGAAAGTACAGGGAAAAAGCTAAGGGAGGACACGGAGGGTTAGAGAAGGAGCAGTTAATCTGGGAGAATGGCTCTTTATACAGGCTCACGACACACGGGTCAACGCACCTGGGCCCGGCAAAAATGCCAGCTGGTTGTCCCATGGAAATACCGGCAGGAGTTATTGAGAATTGGGCACGATGTTCCCTTAGCAGGGCACATGGGACTATGCCGGATGTTACATCGGGTAACCCAGAACTTCTTCTGGCCTGGGGTATCCGGGCGTATTGCCAGACGTGCGAGATATGTCAAAGGGTAGGTAAGAAGGGAGACCACCTGAAAGCCAAACTGGTCCCTATGCCAATAATAGAAGAACCTTTCACGAGAGTAGCCATAGACCTCGTAGGACCCCTGGCCCAGCCTAGCCGCTCCAGTAAGCGCTATATACTTACTGTGGTGGACTACGCTACTCGCTACCCTGAAGCTGTAGCCCTCTCTAATATCCAGGCTGAGACGGTGGCTGATGCTCTGGTCAAGATATTCTCCCGAGTGGGATTTCCCAAAGAGATTCTATCCGAACAGGGTACACAGTTCACGGCCGAGGTGACCCAGCAGATATGGAAGGTCTGCAGAGTTAAATCCCTGACCAGTTCCCCATACCATCCCCAGACCAATGGCCTGTGTGAACGCTTCAACGGGACGCTGAAGCAAATGCTGAAGTCGTTCACAGGGGCCTACAAAGATTGGGAGCAATTCCTGCCGCACCTCCTCTTTGCATACCGGGAGGTGCCCGAGGAATCAACCGGGTTTTCACCCTTCGAACTGCTATATGGGAGGCGGGTGAGAGGGCCCCTAGATCTTATCAAGGCCCACTCGGAGGGGCAGACCAAGATAGAGGGACGACATGGAGGAATTGACCCAGACTGTGCGGGAAAACCTCCAGGTGGCTCGGCAGCACCAGAAAGTATGGTATGACAGACGAGCTAGGTACCAGAGTTTTCAGATCGGACAAAAGGTCATGGTGCTAAGACCAGTCCGAACTGACAAGCTCCAGGCTGCCTGGCAGGGCCCCTATAAGGTTATAGGACAGGTGTGCAATACCACCTACACTATAGCCAGCTGCGAGAATGAAGATGTGAAACGAATGTTTCACATCAACATGCTCAAAGCATATAACAAGAGGGCTGAGGAGGTGACCGCCATCTATGCTACAGCTGGAGAGGACACTGAGGCTTTGCTCCTACCCAACCTCTTAGGGAATAACGGGGAGACGAGGCCGGTAGAAAAAGTCCAGTTAGGGGAACAGCTGGAGCCCCAAGAGAGGGCACAAGCTATCCGCTTACTGGAAGCCAAACAGGCCACGTTCTCTCAGGAGCCAGGGTATACCCCGCTAGCAGTTCACAAAGTAGACAACCTCCCTACCGGATTCCCGAAGCTGTCCGAGACAGGATGCGGAAAGAAATCTACGAAATGCTCCGACTAGGGGTAATAGAGCATTCGGACAGTCCTTGGGCCTCACTTAGTAACAAAACGGGATGGTACGACCCGCTTTTGTGTAGATTACAGGTGGCTCAATGGCAAGACAGTTATAGACGCCTATCCGATGCCACGGATGGACGAGCTGCTTGACCGCATATCTACAGGGAAGTATCTGACCACAATAGACCTATGTAAGGAATCACCCCGTTCGGCCTATACCAATTTCGGGTTATGCCGTTTGGGATGAAGAACGCCCCGGCCACCTTCCAACGGATGGTGGACCGCTTGTTGGAAAGTCTCCAGGACTATGCATGTGCCTACCTGGACGAAATCGCTATCTATAGCGATACCTGGGAGGCACATCTGGAACACGTAGGAGCAGTATTAGACAGGATTAGGGGGGCCAGTTTAACCTTGAAACCAGACAAGTGCCACATTGGTATGGCGGAGGTGCAATATTTGGGCCACCGAGTTGGGTGTGGTAAGCAACGACCAGAACCGGCTAAGATCGAGGCCGTTGCTAATTGGCCCACTCCCCGTACCAAGACACAACTCATAGCCTTCTTGGAGACAGCCGGCTGTTATAGACGCTTTGTACCAGACTATAGCGCCCTGGCCAAACCCCTGACGGACCTGACGAAAAAAAAATTACCCCGACAAGTCCTGTGGTCCCCGGAGTGTGAGGTGGCTTTTTTGTTAATGCTTCTGTATTGGCTGCCCCAGATCCTAACAAAAGATTTATTGTCCACACAGACGCTTCAATGTTTGGACTGGGGGCAGTACTAAGCCAGATCGGATAGGACCGAGGGGAGCACCCCGTGGCCTACCTGAGCCGGAAACTTCTACCCATTGAGAAGGAGTGCCTGGCATTGGTTTGGGCCCTTAAGAAACTAACTTCCTATCTATATGGGCGGGCTTTCACACTCATTACTGACCACAATCCCTTGGTCTGGCTCAACTGAGTCTCAGGAGACAATGCCCGTTTGCTGCGCTGGAGTCTTGCCCTCCAGCCATATGACTTTACTATTCACTACCACCCAGGCAAGGGTCACGCCAAACTGACTTATCAGATTAAACTTTGGACTTCCCGTTTGCCCCTATTGGACCAGGAAAGGTCCAACCGTGTCTGCCGGAGCAGGGAGAAAAGGGGGGGCCATTGTAAAGGATTTCCTTATGTTTACCTGTACCCATTCGGTTAATTCCTCTCCCTGCTAGTTAAGTGACTGTAAAGTATTCGTTGTTATTCCTGTGTTCGGGACATTTATTAGTTCTACTGAACGGAAACCACCCTGGGTAGCAATCAGAACTTTGAACACCAAGTAACCACGAAAAGCGCAAGGTAATTGAGTTCTTCTAGGCGGCCGCCATTTGGAATACGAACACGTGGTGAGAACAAAGGATGGCAGCCATCTTAGATCTCCCGAACGCGGTCAGCGGGACTTACTCGTGGATTGCCTGGAACCATTTTGGGCATGACAAACACACGAACACCCGGTCTCTATGGAAGTCCCATCTGACCGATTTTCACTTACAGTATCAAACTGGCGTTCAGGAGTTTCAATCAACCGAATGAGGGGAGCATTCATATAGAACCAGATGCTGTATAACTGTGGTAGTTTTTGTGTAATTCCGCACGAACGGAGACCGGCTCTTTCTACCAATTTCATGGAACTTTAACTCGGATACAACCACATGGCGAGCCGGTCAAACTTCCACACGATGCGACACGAAAACTACCGAAATGATTTTCGTGCAATTTGGATATGTTACTCCTAGTATCCTCAGCTACCCAGGGATGTGGTTGTTATATTTCTGTGACATGTAGAATGTATATTTTTAAAAATGTGGAAAATTGTTAATGTTTCTGGCCAGCAGATTATCTAGCTTGGCCCAGAGGAGGAGCTTGTACAGTATAAATTGAATGCCTGTTGCTTCCATTAAATCCGTCTTGTTCCGGCATTAAACTTTGGCTCATGTGTGCATTATTTGGCGATACCAGCGTTATTTTACCCTGTGGATTATTGTTGTTATTCTGCTATTGGGAAAAAGGGAATACTGGACGGTGATACAGATTACCGTCACAGGCCCATTAAACACTTCCCATCGGGAAGGAAGATTGAATTATTTGCAGCCTTGCACCTGGCTCCCAACTGCACAGATCTACAGAGATTATCAGACTTCCCGCCTGCAAAACCAGTGGAATCCACCGCTAGCTCTCCGTCTAACAGAGGCACTTCTGTAGTTACAGACCATGATCATGGCTGCCAGATAATATATACTGTATAAAATTCACAGAATATACCAACACAGACCCCGGCATGCAACCTGATCTATTATACCGTATATAGTATATCATACACATAAACAGACCGGGTATATAGCCTGATCTATTACATATAATCTATTATACCGTATATAGTATATCATACACATAATATACAGACCGGGTATATAGTCTGATCTATTATATATAATCTATTATACCATGTACAGTATACAGGGAGTGCAGAATTATTAGGCAAGTTGTATTTTTGAGGATTAATTTTATTATTGAACAACAACCATGTTCTCAATGAACCCAAAAAACTCATTAATATCAAAGCTGAATATTTTTGGAGTTTTTAGTTTGTTTTTAGTTTTAGCTATGTTAGGGGGATATCTGTGTGTGCAGGTGACTATTACTGTGCATAATTATTAGGCAACTTAACAAAAACAAATATATACCCATTTCAATTATTTATTATTACCAGTGAAACCAATATAACATCTCAACATTCACAAATATACATTTCTGACATTCAAAACAAAAACAAATCAGTGACCAATATAGCCACCTTTCTTTGCAAGGACACTCAAAAGCCTGCCATCCATGGATTCTGTCAGTGTTTTGATCTGTTCACCATCAACATTGCGTGCAGCAGCAACCACAGCCTCCCAGACACTGTTCAGAGAGGTGTACTGTTTTCCCTCCTTGTAAATCTCACATTTGATGATGGACCACAGGTTCTCAATGGGGTTCAGATCAGGTGAACAAGGAGGCCATGTCATTAGATTTTCTTCTTTATACCCTTTCTTGCCAGCCACGCTGTGGAGTACTTGGACGCGTGTGATGGAGCATTGTCCTGCATGAAAATCATGTTTTTCTTGAAGGATGCAGACTTCTTCCTGTACCACTGCTTGAAGAAGGTGTCTTCCAGGAACTGGCAGTAGGACTGGGAGTTGAGCTTGACTCCATCCTCAACCCGAAAAGGCCCCACAAGCTCATCTTTGATGATACCAGCCCAAACCAGTACTCCACCTCCACCTTGCTGGCGTCTGAGTCGGACTGGAGCTCTCTGCCCTTTACCAATCCAGCCACGGGCCCATCCATCTGGCCCATCAAGACTCACTCTCATTTCATCAGTCCATAAAACCTTAGA